AACAAAAGACTGCAGTATACAATACACAATAGACAAACATGCATCATAAAACGTCATTCACGAGAACACAATATCTAAACATTCTTTGTCAATATTAAACTCTGATATAAATCCGGTCAGATACAAGAATATGACATCTTTTTCGTTCCAGTGATCATTCTTTATTAGAAAATAAACCTTTGATTGAATCCAGACGAAATAATCTTACAGCAGTCAACTCTAAATTTAATAATACTCTTTTACTATACAATTTTCTAGAGGGAAAATATTTTATGAATCCTTATAAACATCCTGTTTATAGTTTATTTTTTTGCAACGATGCCGATGGCGTAATGTTACGTGTATATTTTGAAAATTAAATGTTAATTTTTTAAAATAGGAACTTAAAACATTTATACGCCAACAAAATTTCTGAATCGGCGAACAACAAACATTCTTTTTATGACGTACTTAACATAATACAGACAATACTTCGATTTGAATAAATAGTTTTATCTTTTGAATTATTCATAAAGACCTAATTGTAGAAATGTTCATGATGATGATTTTATAATAAATAAATCTTTGAAATTTAGCCATTTTTTTAAACATTAAAATTCAGTTTAATCGCGTGATTTTAGAAGAATCTGCACACACTGTAGATGATTTGTATGACACTTTTTTCCACTTAAAGTACGACATTTACAGTGTAAAGATATATTATTATTNTTTTTTTATTTGCCGCGTTTGAAGATACAAAAAAATATGCTAATATATTTTTCTGTTCTGCCACTCGAAACTTGATCGAAAATGCAGATTTTTTTTAACTATTGAAAAATAAACGGATTTAATGCTCTGTAAATTTTCAGCATCGTACTATTTAGATATATGTAATTAAAGCTTAAGGTATACAAAGGATAAACAAAATTAAAGGTGTAAAAGATGGTTTATAATTATTTTTAAAATAAAGGGTTTTTAATAGTCTTCTAACTAAAAAAATATATAATAAATAGAATTATTTGAAGAAAATAGAATTTGCTTCAATTTGTTCAATTTATTCATGTTAAAAGAAATTTAAAATTCTAATAAGCAACTAATACGAATAAAATAGAACAAAGTAATATGTATATTGCCTAAAATATATTTAAGTAAGGAATAAATATTAATGCAAAATGCAAATAATATTTAACCAATAGTTAGTTTTTGAATTTAAAAATTCAAAAATGCACACGAACTAATATTTAAATTATGCAAGCTGATTGGTTGAAATCTCTCGCATTCTTTCGAATTTAAATTTAAAATCTCGAGACCGGATTTTTTTTTAATTGTGAAGAAATGATTGGACAAATTTGCGCATGCTCGTTTTGAGATTATAAAAAATAAAAGTCACGTGACTGACATTTTTAAGGAAAAACGCTCTTTGGAAGGAGAATGAAGTGTTCTATTTATAAAATATTTGATGTTTAATGTTTAATTTTTTTATACATTTATTTTTATTTAGATTTATTTAACTTCTTTTTTTTCGCGATAAATTAACCATTTTTAAAGCGAACCAAATTGGAAATTATACCAGAAACTTTACATCATGGACATTTTGATTGATGTTCCATTGTTATAGCTGCGTGTTTAATTACTGCTATTTGTTTATCATATATATTGAAACTAAAACTAGTAAATAATCCGTACAAATTACTCATGATTAACGGATATAATTATCCCTCAAAAAGATAGGTAATATAATTAAAATACGTTTTAACGTATTGACGTAAAAATATGATAAATGTATTTTCTAAACCTTAATTATAATTCGTATTTTTCTTTTTAAAGATGTTTTAAAGCAATTAAAGAATTGAAATTTCAAGTTTTTCAGTGGTTTTATTTATTACGTTAATTAATGATAGAATTTTAAATAACGTCATAACAAAATTTTCGAATAATACGATTTGATTGGCTGATTGTGGAGATAAATTCAAATTGTCACGCTTTAAATTTTTAATTGAAAATTGATAAAATAATAATTAAGAATACCGAGAAATTGTAAACAAGCAAACATCCTTTTATAATTTGATTTAAATTATTTTGTAACACGACCATTAATAGTGAGAATTTTTAAATTTCGTAAATAATTTTAATTGCGTAGCGTTGATTAGAAAGGTAGCTCCGTTATTGGTAAAAAATAATTTTTAAAAATATTGACCCGTTTTAATTAATTAAATTTGAGATTATGCAATTTATTAAATATTTTAATACGAAACTTAATAAAGGAAATAATAATAGTGCCTTTAAAAATTACAAAACAATATGATAAAATTTATCGTATGCTTTAATTTCTCAATTAAACCAATAATAGATTAGAATTTTGAAATTTGTAAAGCACGTGATCTAAACTTTTGAATTCTAAGAGCTGATTGGTCGACAAAATACAGTAATCTTTTGAAAGTCTAAAGGTCACATATAATGTTAAAATATTCTAAAAGATGATTGGCAAGAGAGAGAGAAAGCACAATAATCTTAAAAATCAAATTATATCATACATGCCGAATTCTCGAAATGTTAAGTTAAAATTGGTCGGCCATGTTCGGAAGTAGATTAAAATCCTATTATTCACTTTAGACATCAGAGTACGTTCCTTAGTTATTGTCGGGGTGCATGGCCTTTAATTCCTATTTCAACTAATTACTTAAAGTAACATGGTTGTCAACATGAAATATTTTTAACTTAAATCTTCGACAATATATCAAATTTGATGAAGCTGCTGATAATTATATGTAATACGATACTCAAAATAAATTTTATAATTAAATAACCTTCAAAACAACTTAATTACAAAACGTCATTTTAATAAACTAAATCATGGCAAAGTAACACCATAACCTATTTAGAAATGTATCTAAGAAAAATTAATAACCTTTTTTTCATATTGTATTTCATAAATATTTCTACACAGAAATATTTATGAAATACATCAAACTCTAAAAAGAAAAACTTGTGTATAAACTCTTGAGCCAGTGAATAAAATGTTAAGAATAAACTAGATGATGATGGGATGTTAGAAAAAGTTTTCTTGTCATCATCAATCACTACCTAATGCTGACAACTAGATATACACTACTCAACTTATATATAGTGTATGAAATAAAGCTAAGAACATTAGACAGGTAATGAGGAATGTTTGACATATTTCCATGAAACAAAAATACATTTACATAACATGTCTTCTGGGTAAGTTTATTTTGATGTACTCCATTCTGTTTGATTGTTGTCAGTATATTTTGATATAAAAATGAAGTAAGATCATGTTTACATTTTATCATAAGAAATATATATATATTTTTTAGATTGAATATTCTTTCGAAAAATATTTAAATGTCAGATATTTTCATTTTTAAAATATAAAAAACTTATGTTTGCTTGACATTAATATATTTTTAATGATTTATATCAATTATTTTCCTAATATAATTTTAATCTTTTCCATATGGTTATTATAAGCTGATTTTATATTAATTAAATATGTAAATGCATGTTTACATAAATACAAGTTTCTGTAAAATAAAAATGTATCTCAGTTTGAATACATTTTGTGTAATTAAAATGCATTTTACATTTGTACAAAATGCAAACAAAAAAAAAATTTTTTTTTTTGCTTAAGAAGAGTGAAAATACAGACAAATAAGATAATCTTAATGCATTTTTAAGAACTTTATTCATGAAAAATATTTAAGTGGATATTTTAAATTTCTTAGAAGCAATAGGATTTTAATATCAAATAAAACTATTAAATAGTACATTGATTTTAAGAATTACTATGTAATTTTTACTCTGAAAAAATATAAAATATTAATGAATAATGAAACACACAAACTTCTCTCACTAATTTTATGCATGTATAAAAATTAATTATAATCAAATATTTTAATTTTGAGATTAATTTTAATTTTAAAATTTCATTTATATATGTATCATTTTCATACTAATGTTGCATAACTGTTTGTTGATTTACATCTTCATACAATTAAAATTAATAATAATACATTTAATATATGAAAAGGAATGTTTATATTTCCCAGAAGATCAATTTAAAAATTGAATTGGATATTTTCAGAATTATCATTATCTTAAAAATTATTTAAATAATTGAAATGTTTTTTCATGTGAATGAAAGGAAATTGTGGATTGATGAACAGAATTAATTTACCATTGAAGAATTTATATAATAAAAAGCAATTGAATTCATCTTTTATATATTTTTTAAATTTAATATGATGATTCTGCCACTAGATTGAAGCAACTAAATATTGATTTTTCTAAAGAATATTACTTTAGACTGTTAAAAAATGAAACATTTTTTAATAGTCTAAAGTAAAAAAATATTAAATTATATATATTTTAAAATATATATAATTTAATATTTTGAAATTATTCTTAAGCTCTTAATGAAATTATACAATTTAACAGCAATTCTAATTATAAGAGTTTGTAGAATTTAAAAAGTTATATATATATTTGACATTAATATATTTTTATTAATGTCATATTATTAGCATATTAAAAAGAATTTTCTCTCTTTCTCTTCCCCTCCCTCCTTTCTTGATTTTGCATTAAAATATTAAAATAAATGTTTACACGTATCACAAAATCAATTTACAACTTATATAAACTTATATGAAATCAGCCAAATTCATATTTTATACTTTAAACTTTATAAAAATCTAATAAAGATGATTTTAATATTGGATGAAACTAGTATATATTGATTTTCAGAACTAATTAGCTTGTATACTAATATACTGTAAAATTTGATATAAAGTAATCAAAAGTATGGCAAACTTTTAGAATTAATTTTATGCCAATTTATAATTGAATTGAATATTGAAAAAAATTTATATAAATGTTTTTTTAATGCAAAAAAGTATCAAAATATTTATTCAAAAAATTTTGGAATTTAATTTAATCATTTATAAGACTATTATAAATATTTATCAATGGTGGTGATGTAATTTATTTTAATATTTTGATAGCTGAAGAACACAAACTGAAGGAAGAAGGAAAAACAATATAATAATTTGAATAAAAACAATATTAAACAATGCTGACAAAACAATGACTTTTGTTACAACATTGCAAGAAGAAATCAATAAAGTGTATTTCATCAACAGGTTTGCTTTAAAATTTTTTTTTACTTTTACTGTTACTATGGTAACAGAACATTGATTCTTTACATTGCATTCCTATTTACATAACACATTTTTAAATATTTAAAAGCAGAATTAATCTTGACTAAATTAACAATAATGCTTCTTACAGAAGTGATGTAAACTTTGAATTAAAAATATTAGAAAAGGATTTAAATTTTCAATTTTTTTATTTGGTGTTCACTAATGTTTTTTAAGGAGAGAAAATTTGAATAAGAAAATAATTTTTAATAAAATGTTTTAAATCTGAAAATTCTTTTATGAGCATCATAAAATGTGAGCAGTAAATCCTTGTTTATTATATATTTTAAAAAATTAATTGTTTATATAATCTTATATGATAACTTTGTTTGTTCAAGAAATTTTGATAGCATTTGTATCTAAATAAAAAATTAATTAACAAATTGTTTATATAAAATTAATAATGTGCAACATAAAATAAACTATATACTTTAATTAAAACTTTATATTTATATTTAAAAAATTTTATTACACCATTTTAAACTTTTGAATTTAAAATCTAAAAAAAACTATGAATAAATTAATAATTTAATAACAAAGAAAATTTTTCTTCTTTCAAAAATTTTTGAATAAAGTATAAAATTCATTATGTAAATATAATTAAATAATTTTTCGCATGAAATTTATTAAATTATTTTTTATGATTATTATATTTTTATTGTTAAGTAGATTAGCTGGAATAATAATAAATGTTGTTTTGTTTTCAATTCTCTTTCTATAGATATGAAAATTGATGTAAATTTTTTATTTAAGGTTAGTAAATATATAAATATAATATATATATATATATCTAGAAACAACTAACGATGTAAATTTTATGTAGCAAAATATAATTTAATTTTTTATATACTTATTTAAAATATGTTATCTGTATTAGTTAATAATTTCCAGTTTTTATATCCATTTAAATTGCTATAAAAAAGAATTTATAAAATTAAATTTTATAAATTCAGAAAATATTTAGTGACTTTTACATTTGTTCTTTGATGTGATTTAATGTAGTTTTAAATATTGTGGGGGGATTAAGATAAAAAAGTAAGACAATAATGCAACCACCATTAGGATCAATAAGATAGACATATTCTTATTAATCCAAATGG